TACTTCAAGCAACTCAAGAATCCAAGAGAATACAAAATGTAAAGAAAAATTTTATTTTATTTTTTTATTTTATTTTATTTTATTGAGACGGAGTTTTGCTCTTGTTACCCAGGCTGGAGTGCAATGGCACGATCTCGGCTCACCGCAACCTCCGCCTCCTGGGTTCAGGCAATTCTCCTGACTCAGCCTCCTGAGTAGCGGGGATTACAGGCACGCGCCACCATGCCCAGCTAATTTTTTGTATTTTTAGTAGAGACGGGGTTTCACCATGTTGACCAGGATGGTCTTGATCTCTTGACCTTGTGATCCACCCGCCTCGGCCTCCCAGAGTGCTGGGATTACAGGCTTGAGCCACCGCGCCCGGCCTAGAAAAATTTTATTAACTGATTTTATTAAACACTATTCAACTTATACACCTTTATGTGAAGAAAATTTGCAAAAATATATCACATCAATTTTTGTATGAAAGTAAGAATTAGGAATTCATAGTGTAGATTCATGTTAAGAATGAGGCACTGGTAATGATAATAGAGTTATACATTTTCTTTCTTTCTTTTCTTTTTTTTTTTTTTTTGAGACAGAGTCTCACTCTGTTGCCCAGGCTAGAGTGCACTGGTGCCATCTTGGCTCACTGCAACCTCTGCCTCCCAGGTTCAAGCAATTCTCCTGCCTCAGCCTCCCAAGTATTTTTGTATTTTTAGTAGAGATGGGGTTTCACCATCTTGGCCAGGCTGGTCTCAATCTCTTGACCTCGTAATCCACCACACCTGGCCATGAAACTCTTAAACTTGTCTGCATATAGATGCTGCACATGGAATTAGTCCTAGTCCTTGGAAAGTTACGTGATTTTAATTCAATAGTGTATGTTATTGTGAACACAGTATATGTTTCTTCCCTAAGCAGGAAACTGAATCCATTAACAGTGTTCATAGTTTTTAGGTTTTTTTTTTTTTGTTGTTGTTGTTGTTGTTGTTTTTTAAGATGGGGTTTCACCATGTTGGTCAGGCTGGTGTCTTGAACTCCCGACCTCAGGTGATCCTCCCACCTTGGCCTCCAAAGTGCTTGGATTACAGGCATGAGCCACCACACCCGGCCAGTTTTTTTTTTTTTTAAGACAGGGTCTCATTCTGTCACCCAGGCTAGAGTGCAGTGGTGCGATCTTGGCTCACTGCAGCATCAACTTCCCAGGCTCTAGCAATCCTCCCACCTCAGCCTCCTGAGTGGCTAGGACTATGGGAACATGCTACCAGGCCTGGCTACGTTTTTATATTTTTTGTAGAGATGAGGTTTAGCCATGTTGCCCAGGTTGGTCTTGAACTACTGGGCTCAAGCAACCCATCCACCTCAGCCTCCCAAAGTGCTGTGATTACAGGCGTGAGCCACTACACGTGGCCAACAGTGTTAATAGTTTTCCACCTGTGTTGTTTTGTCTTTAGTTTCCCAGACAATTAATGCTATCATGGTCAAACATATTTGCTTCCTCCATCCCTTTCAACATATTGATCACTGCTTTTTTTGGCATTAAGTAATAGAGACTACTGTAATAATTGATTGGAGTGAAATAGACATATTTGCTTTTGTTAGGTTCTGTTCCCTCTTTCACTGGGAAGCCTCTCACCCAATTCCTCATCATGCTCTCTCCAAAACACACCTTAACCAGAATCTACCAATGTTCACATTCAAAATGAAAGACAAAACACTTTCCTAGGCTTAAAAATATGAACATTGAGAGAATTTTTCCTGGACACCAGCCCTACAAGACCAAAGTGGCCAGGTGTGGTGGCTCACATCTGTAATCTCAGCACTTTGGGAGGCCAAGGTTGGTGGATCAACCAGAGGTCAAGAGTTTGAGACCAGCCTGACCAACATGACAAAATCTTCTCTACAAAAAAAAAAAAAAAATTAGCTGGGTGTGGTGGCATATGTCTATAATCCCAGCTACTTGGGAAGCTGAGGCAGGAGAAGGGCTTGAACCTGGGAGGCGGAGGTTGCAGTGAGCCAAGATTGCACCAGGGCACTCCGGCCTGGGCAACAGAATGATATCCCATCTTAAAAAATAAAAAATAATAGAAAAAGAACTAGCTTTCTACAACAGTTTGTAATTAAATATCTGCAAATATGAAGACAGACCCTTCAATGCTTAAAGATCTTCAGTCCTCAAACTGAACAGATTCTGACATTAGTATTATTTAGATTGCTCCCAAAAGTTAGTATCTGCAGTCAGAATCTGGTTCTTCCAACATAGATGATCACGTTGACATCCTGTCAAGATTCAAGTTAGCCTGAGGTCTCACTGCTTATCTACGGTATCACCCATCTAGTTGCCTCAACACATCACGACATTAGGCACCCTACTGCAATAATCATTATTATACTTTTGTTATCAAGTAAGAAGCACCAGGATTTGGGTGAATGTTAACACACTTTCAGGTCATTAAACAAAAGCAATCTATGAGTGTCAAAAATAAGGATTTATGCCCGGCGCAGTGGCTCACGCCTGTAATCCCAGCACTTTGGGAGGCCGAGGCGGGTGGATCACAAGGTCAAGAGATCAATACCATCCTGGTCAACATGGTGAAACTCCATCTCTACTAAAAATACAAAAAATTAGCTGGGCATGGTGGCGCGTGCCTGTAATCCCAGCTACTCGGGAGGCTGAGGCAGGAAGAATTGCCTGAACCCAGGAGGCGGAGGTTGCGGTGAGCCGAGATCGCGCCATTGCACTCCAGCCTGGGTAACAAGAGTGAAACTCCATCTCAAAAAAAAAAAAGAAAATAAGGATTTATAATGCTCGAAGGGACATGTATTATGTACATGTGTCTGTGATGGTTGGGTCTATACTGAGTATGTATAGGGTCTTTTTCATATCACTATTCACTAAATATTGTTTTAAACAATAAAACAACTATTTACATAGCTTATATGACTCATGATGTATTTTAACTAATCTACAGATGATTTACAGTATACAGGAGGATGTGGGTAGGTTACATGCAAATATGTCATTTTAATTTTTTTTATTTTTTATTACTTTTTTGAGACAGGGTCTCATTCTGTTGCCCATGCTAGAGTTCAGTGATGTGATTTTGACTCATGCAACCTCAATTTCCCAGGCTCAAGTGATCCTCCCACCTCAGCCACCCTAGTAGCTGAGACTACAGGTATGTGCCACCACACCTGGCTAATTTTTGTATCTTTTGTAGAGACAGGGTTTCACCATGTTACCTAGGCTGGCCTCTAACTCCTGGGCTCAAGTGATCCACCTTCCTTGGCCTCTTAAAGTGCTAGGACTACAGATGTGAGCCACTGTGACTAACCCAAATATGTCTTTTTTCTTTTTTTGACATGGAGTCTCGTTCCGTTGCCCAGGCTAGAGTGCAGTGGCACAATCTCAGCTCACTGCAACCTCCACCTAGAGGGTTCCAGTGATGCTCCTGCCTCAGCCTCCTGAGTAGCTGGGATTACAGGCATGTGCCACCACGCCTGGCTAAGTTTTGTATTTTTAGTAGAGGAGGGGTTTTACCATGTTAGTCAGGCTGGTCTCAAACTCCTGACCTCGTGTTCCGCCCAGCTCGGCCTCTCAAAGTGCTGGGATTACAGGCATCAGTCACTGCACCCAGCCCAAATATGTCATTTTTAAAAAGGGACTTAGCAGGTGTGGATTTAGGTATGTCCGGAGTCGGGGGACAGGTAGAACCAATCCCCTGCACATATTAGGGGATAACTATATTTGAAAGAAACCGAGGCTACTTAAGGCTTTACTGTGTGTTTACATCCATAGGGTTTATCTCCAATGAGAATTCTTTCTATCTCACATGAAATAACATTAAAGAATGTTTCCCTACATTTCACACATTTATAGAATATCTCTCCAGTGAGTCCTTGCATGCCTATGCAAGGAACTGAGAGAACTCAGTGCTTTTCTACATTTCTTACATTCATGTAACTTCTCTCCAGAGTGAATCATTTCATATACCTTTTTTTTTTTTTTTTTTGAGACAGGGTCTGGCTCTGTTGCCCCGGCATCTTGGCTTACTGCAACTCCCAGCCCCCGGGCTCAAGAGATCTTCCCACCTCAGCCTCCCAAGTAGCAGGAACTTCAGGTGCACACCATCACACCTGCTAATTTTTCTGTTTTTTGTAGAGACAGGGTTTAATCATTTTGCCCAAGTTGGTCTTGAATTACTGAGCTCAGGTGATCTGCCCACCCAAAGTGCTAGGATTAAGGTGTGAGCCACTGTGCCCAGCCTCTTGTCCTTTTTTTTTTTTTTTTTTTTCCTTTGAGACAGAGTTTCACTCTTGTTGCCCAGGCTGGAGTGCAATGGCATGATCTCAGCTCACCGCAACCTCTTCCTCCTAGGTTCAAGCAATTCTCCTGCCTCAGCCTCCCGAGTAGCTGGGATTACAGGCATGCACCACCATGCCTGGCTAATTTTGTATTTCTAGTAGAGAAATACAAAATTATTTCCATGTGAGTCAGACTGGTCTGGAATTACCGACCTCAGGTGATCCACCCGCCTTGGCCTCCCAAAGTGCTGGGATTACAGGCCTGCACCATCACACCCAGCCATCTTTTTTTTGTTTTGTTTTGTTTTTTGAGATGGAGTTTTGCTCTTGTTGCCTCAAGGCTGGAGTGCAATGTTGTAATCTCCACTCAACGCAACCTCTGCCTCCTGGGTTCAAGGGATTCTCATGTCTCAGCCACCCGAGTAGCTGGGATTACAGGTGCACATGCCACTACGCCTGGCTAATTTTTGTATTTTTAGTAGAGACGGGGTTTCATCATACTGGTCAGGCTGGTCTCAAACTCCTGACCTCAGGTGATCTACTGGCCTCAGTCTCCCAAAGTGCTGGGATTATAGGTGTGAGCCACTGGGCCTATGTTGACAAAGACATTAAAAAAACTAACTGCTTTCCCACATTCCTTACATTCATACAGCTTCTCTCCAGTGTGAGTTGTTTCATAATTTTGAAAGGAATACAAATTATGAAAGGCTTTCTCACATTTACATTTATAGGGTTTCTGTCCAGTGTGAGGTTTTTCATGTTGCCAAAGGGAACTGGAAATACAGAAGGCTTTATCATTGTTTAGATTCATATTGTTTCTCTCCAGTGAGACTTTTCATGTCTTTGACATACACTGGGGTAAACAAAGGCTTTCCCACATACTTTGCATTTATTTGGCCCATCTCCCGTATGCATTATCATGTGTCTTCGAAAGCTTGAGCTATGAGATAATGCTTTCCCACACTGCTTACATTCATAGGGTTTCTCTCCACTGTGAGACTTTTCATGTCTTTGACATACACTGGGATAAACAAAGGCTTTCCCACATACCTTGCATTTATGAGGTCCATCTCCAGTGTGCATTATCATGTGTCTTCGAAAGCTTGAGCTATGAGATAATGCTTTCCCGCACTGCTTGCATTCATAGGGTTTCTTTCCAGTGTGAATTCGTTCATGATGCTGAACTAAACTGGGACGATCAAAGCCTTTCCCACATATCTTACATTTATGAGGTCAATCTCCAGTGTGCCTTTTCATGTATATTTGAAAGCTTCCAAGGTGATGAAATGCTTTCCCGCATTGCTTACACTCATAGGGTTTCTCTGCACTGTGTGTAGTTTCATGTCGTCGAAGGGAACTAGAAACACTGAAGGCCTTCCCACATTGTTTACATGTATAGGGTTTCTCTCCAGTGTGAGTCCTTTCGTGTCTTATATAGGAACTGGAATCAGGCAAGGCTTTGGAACACTGCTTACATTCATACGGTCTCTCCCCGGTATGCATTCTTTCATGTCTTAGATAGGAACTGTAAAAAGGAAAGGCTTTAGAACAGTGCTTACATTCATACAGTTTCTCTCCAGTGTGAGTTCTTTCATGCATACGTAATAAGCTGGGCCAAAAAAAAGCTTTTCCACACAACTTACATTTATAAGGTCTATTTCCACCTTGCACTACCACGTGTCTTCGAAGGTTTCTACGAGAACTGAAGGTTTTTCCACATTTCTTACACTCAAAGCATCTCTTTCCAGTGAGAGGCCTTCCACGTGACTGAAAGGAGTCATGATAACTGAAGGTTTTCCCACATTGTTTATGTGTATGTGGCTTCTCTCCATATTCCTGATACACATGTGGTTTGTGTCCAGCATCAACTCTGATCTGGCTATTAAAAGATGAATGACCCATGATGACTTCTTCATAGTTGGTGCTTTGACACGGATCTTCTCCAGGATGAATGTTGTTCTTCACAATGCTATCTTGAATCTGGCTAAATATTTCTCCACATTGACTATTGTCTTTACTTTCACTGAGTCTCTCTGCCATATGACATCTGTAAAAAATGAGAAGTATGTTACTAAACAGTTGTTGCTAAATGATTTTATGAGTATTAATAGGTATCTATTTTTTAAAATTAATTAATAGGTACTTTTATTTTTTTTGAGACAGTGTCTTGCTCTGTTGCCAGGTGCCAGGCTGGAATGCAGTGGCACAATCTCAGCTCACTGCAACCTCCGTCTCCTGGGTTCAAGCAATTCTTCCGCCTCAGCCTCCTGAGTAGCTGGGACTACAGGCGCGTGCCACCACACCCAGCTAATTTTTGTACTTTTAGTAGAGACGGGGTTTCACCATGTTGGCCAGGATGATCCCGATCTCTTGACCTTGGGATCCATCTGCCTCGGCCTCCCAAAGTGTTGGGATTACAGGTGTGAGCCACTGCACCAGGCCCATACCTTTTTTTTTTTTTCTGAGAAGGAGTCTTGTTCTGTCACCCAGGCTGGAGTGCAGTGGCACAATCTCAGCTCACTGCAACCTCCACCTCCCAGGTTCAAGCAATTCTCCTGCCTCAACCTCCCAAGTAGCTGGGATTAGAGGCGCATATGACTGCACTCGGCTAATTTTTGTATTTTTAGTAGAGATGGGGTTTCACCATGTTGGCCAGGCTGGTCTCAAACTCCTGACCTCGTGATCCGCCTGCCTCAGCCTCCCAAAGTGCGGAGATTATAGGCGTGAGCCACTGCGCCTGGACAGATATACCTGTTAAACATTACCATGCAAAGCATAGGCTTCATACCCTGTTTAAACATGAAGAACTGAATGCTATGCAAGACAACTCAACACCAGCTGGGTTTTTTGTGTTTTTTTTTTCCTTTATTTTTAATTAATTATTTTTTGAAACAGGATCTAGCTGGAGTACAGTAGCAGGTTGATGGTTCACTGCAACCGTGACCTCCTCAACTCAAGAGATCTACCCACTTCAGACTCATGAGTAGCTGGGACTATAGGTGTGCACCAACACACTCGGCTAATTTTTTAAATTGAGACAGAGTAAGGCCATGTTGCCCAGGCTGGTCTTGAATACTTGGCCTCAAGTCATCCTCCCAAAGTGCTGGGATTATATGTGCCACCCAACCAAGCCTGCCAGTTGTTTTCAAGACAATAATATTCATGTCAATTCTTTTTTTTTTTTTTTTTTTTTTTGCGATGGAGTCTCGCTCTGGTGTCCAGGCTGGAGTGCAGTGGCGCGATCTCAGCTCACTGCAACCTCTGCCACCTCGGTTCATGCAATTCTCTTGCTTTGGCCTCCCGAGCAGCTGGGGTTATAGGTGCACACCACCATGCCCAGCTAACTTTTGTATTTTTGTAAATACAGGGTTTTGTTATGTTGGTCAGGCTGGTCTCAAACTCCTGATCCCAAGGCCTACCTCAGCCTCCCAAAGTGTTGGGATTATAGACATGACCCACCATGCCCAGTTTCATATGTAAATTCTTAGAATATGTTTTAGGAGAAATTTTTTTTTTTTTTTTTTTTTAGAGATGGAGTTTCACTCTTGCTACCCAGGCTGGAGTGCAATGGCGCGATCTCGGCTCACCGCAACCTCGGCCTCCTGGGTTCAGGCAATTCTCCTGCCTCAACCTCCCGAGTAGCTGGGATTACAGGCACGCGCCACCATGCCCAGCTAATTTTTTGTATTTTTAGTAGAGACAGGGTTTCACCATGTTAACCAGGATTGTCTCGATCTCTTGACCTCGTGATCCACCCGCCTCGGCCTCCCAAAGTGCTGGGATTACAGGCTTGAGCCACTGCGCCCGGCCAGGAGAAAATTTTTTAAGAATAAATAAATGTGGGCCAGTGCGGTGACTCACACCTGTAATTCCAGCATTTGGGTAGGCCAAGGCAGGCAGATTGCTTGAGACCAGGAATTCAAGGCCAGCCTGGGAAACATGGCAAAACCCTGTCTCTACAAAAAATGCAAAAATTAACCATGTGTGGCGGGGTGGACCTGTAGTCCCAGCTACTCGGGAGGCTCTGGTGGGAGGATTGCTTGAACCTGGGAGGTCAAGGCTGCAGTGAGCCAAATTCATGCCACTGCACTCCAGCCTGGGCAACATAGCAAGGCCCTGTCTCAAAAATATATATATTAATAAAAAAATTTAAAAATAAATTTAAGCTGGGTTTGTTCATTTTGTTTGTTTTATTCCCATTCTGAAACTCACTTCAGAAACATAACTTTCTCCTGTGAGTACAAATTACCTTAGATTTCTCCTGGGATTTTTGTACTGATCTTCAATATTCTGGTCTTCATATATCATTTCTAAAAGGTAGACCCAGAAAATCACTATAAATTATTAGAAAATTATATAAAACAGTTAAGATTTTATATATACTACAATCACATATGATTTAGTCACCAACCTACAATTGATCTGTACAGTTTGGAGTTGGAGGTGGAGTCTTGCTCTGTCATCAGGCTGGAGTGCAGTGGCATAATCTCAGCTCACGGCAACCTCTGGCCTCCCAGGCTCAAGTAATTCTCCTGCCTCAGCCTCCTGAGTAGCTGGGATTATAGGTGTGCACCACCACACCCAGCTAATTTTTGTATTTTTAGTAGAGATGGGGTTTCGTCATGTTGGTTAGACAGTTCTCGAACTCCTGACCTCGTGATCCACCCACCCTGGCCTTTCAAAGTACTGGGATTACAGGCATGAGCCACTGTACCCGGCCTTACAGTTGATTCTTGAACAACACAGGTTTGAACTGCACAGCTCCACCTATATATGAATTTTCTTTAGTCTCTGCTACCTCTGAGATAGGAGGATCAATTCTTCCTTTTACTTAGCCTTCTCAATGTAAAGATGAGAATAAAAACCTTTATGATCATCTATCTCCACTTAATGAATAGTAAATAGTTTCTTTTATCATTTTATCAATATTTTCTTTCTCTAGAGCACTTTATTGTGAGAATATAGTATGCAATACATATTACTTAGAATATATGGATTAATCAACTGTTTATGTCACCAGTAAGGCTGCTGGTCAACGGCTGCTTAAGCTACAGTGGACAAAAAGTTAGATGAGGATGTACAGCTTCTTTGGGGGCTGTCACTTCTGAATTCTGTGTTGTTCAAGAGTCCATCATTTGCCCTTTCCACATTTAAAATCATTGAACAGCACAGATAACCATGAAACAAATGTCTCTAATTGATTAAGCAAAGACATGATGTTATCCTTACTTATACAGTCCAGGTTCCTGATGGTTTCTTGCATCACATCTCTGTACAGATTCTTCTGTGATGGACCCAGCAAAGCCCATTCCTCCTGGGTAAAGTTCACAGCCACATCCTCAAGGGCCACTGTGTCCTGAAACATCCCACACATAAAGAAGAGAAAGGTTGAGTGACAGTACTAAAAAATCTATATTTGATTCATAAACTTCATATGATGCTGTGCTTTCCAAGCATTTATTCAATGACATAGTAAACTGTCTTATATTCTGTCTATACTCACTTTCTCCCACACAGTCATTTTGATGGTAGAGTTCAACATGTTTGGTAAAGTTACAGTTGAACAGCAACAGGTCTCTTCTTGGTGAGTTAAATGAGTCTTATTGCCTGGATCACCCTCATGTCTATTTCTGTAGTGGGTTGTAGTTCTTGTCATGACAAGGTCCTATTACCTATTGTTCAGAACAGAGCTACTATTAGCAGTCCTGAAACTACATGTCCTTCCAAATACTTATTCTGAAAGTTGGACCTTTTATGGTGTCTAGGAACTGGATTTAGGGAGTGCCCTATCAACCTAACTAATAACAGGGCTTGATTGTATCTACATTGTTTATGCAAAAAGTATATAATTTTCTTAACTCCTATGTTCTGAGAGTTTGGAATTTTTCAAACTCAACAGAGGGAGCATATGTGATCAGCCACTGCTAAGTTTGAATGTTGGTCCCCTCCAAAACACATGTTGAAAGTTAATCCACAAAGTGGGAGTAATAAAAGGTGGAGATTGAAAAGGTGATTAACTCTTGAAGGTTCAGACCTCATGAACAGATCAATCTATTAATGGATCAATGGCTTAATAAATAAATAAGTTATCTCAGGAAGGGGACTGGTGTCCTTACGAGAAGATGGAAGAAATCCAAGTTAGGCAGTTCAGCCCTTGCCATGTAATGCTTCATGCCATCTAAGAACTCTGCAGAGTCCGCACCAGCAAGAAGGTTCTCACCAGATGCCCACCCTTAACCTTGGACTTCCCAGCCTCCAGAAAAGTAAAAAACAAATATTGTTCCTTATAAATTATCCAAGTTCAGATATTCTTTTTTTTTTTTTTTTTTTTTTGAGACAGAGTTTCGCTCTTGTTACCCAGGCTGGAGTGCAATGGCACGATCTCGGCTCACCGCAACCTCCACCTCCCGGGTACAGGCAATTCTCCTGCCTCAGCCTCCTGAGTAGCTGGGATTACAGGCATGCGCCACCATGCCC